TTCTGGAAGAAATTCATTTCTTTTAATTTCTTTTTGGTTTGTTAATTGCCTATCTGATATATAATAATAACATTTATTCCATACAATACAGATATGTTTCAAAAAGTCTTGTGATGGAAAGATTTTAGACATTATTTGAATCATTATTATAATGTTATTGGAAATTCTATTTGTGTTATAATTTAGAACAATAACAATTCCATTGATTCCTTCTTGAACAATATCAACTATATCGTTCAAAAATCTTTCATTAAATTCTTTTGATTCTTGAAGACTTGGTGTGTCAATAACAATTAAATCACTTCTTTCTCCTTTTCTATTTTCTCCAACAACTTCTCTTGTTTCTGAAATTGTACTATCACTTACTTTAAAAACATCTTTCTTCTTTAAAATGAAATTACCAAGTGAACTTTTACCATTTCCTGTTTCTCCAATTAAAAGTTATTTCGTTTGTTTTGGGTTATCTTCTGGTAAATTCATTGATTATTTTTAAGTTATTATTCATTTAAATACTGCGATTAAGTTATTTCACAAAATATTTGTTTGTAAATTATGTTTATTTGATGTAAAAAGAAATCTCTCGTATTTAAAATGTTAAAACAAACATACCCCTTTTATTTATATAAATAATTTGTATGAAACAAATTTAGAATAGTCAATGAAAATAACATAACACTTTATAAAATAATTACATTCAATTGAGTTAATGAAAAATGCTAAATATTTCACATGGAAAGTAAAATAACAAAAAGTGAGTGAGAGTGATGAATATGAAGAAATACACACAATAATGTATTATATATGTTTGAATTGCAAAACCTTAAATAAACAATATTTTCATCACTACTCAATGTCTTTATTGTTTTATATAATTTCTTTTTTAAACTGATTGAAAATGATATTATCTGTTTTGACAGTATTTTATCATTTTTCTTTTATCAAATTCAAAACATAAATCATTTATAATGTTTAATTAACCGTCAATTATTGGGTGTTACTTGTCTCTTAGTAATCACTAGAATTTTCCGACATCCATGAAAAATCAGTAGCACCTGAACCAAAAGGACGATCAGTACAATTAGCATGATCAGTAAGACTAGCAACAGCAGCACCAGTACTAGCACCAACAGCAACAACAGCAGTAACAACTGCACCTCCAATTAGAGCTATTTTTGATTTTGTTTGTTTGTCTTTTGATGAACTCATTTATGTTTTATCAGTTGTTTGGTTTCTTTAAATACCATGTACCTTATATCCAATGATGTTTGTTGTTTTATTTTTGGATTGTATTAAAATAATTATAAGTCGCTGTATTTTTTCGATAAAATTGTTTTATATAATTTGTTAGTTTGTTTTTATTCAAAAATGTAATTATTTTTATTATCACGACATTCTAATTCTGATTCTCAACTATTATATTTTAATTATTTGTAAATTCACTCTTCGTATTATTTCTCTATTTGAATAAATCAATCACCTAAACGTGGTGGTTTTATAGGACGTGAATATACAACAAGAATTATTTTAAAAAACATTGATATAATTATTTTTAATTTAGTGTTATTTTTAGTTAATGAATATTTCTTTTATATTAATTTTAAACAGGATTTGTCAATAATTATTTCAAATGAAATGTAATCCAGAATTTAATTGTTGATATGGAAACAAATACTATTTGAAATAAATATATTAAAGTAATTAGAATTATTTTCTATTATTTCTTTTTATAATATTATTATAAATCTATTGTTATTTTATTTATTTGTTTTCGTTATGTTATTTTTATCATCATTGTAAAATTACTTATTCATTATATTGTTACTTTTTTGAATATTTTTATTTCAAATAATAAAAATAAATAAAGCAATGTAAAATAGAAAAACTGACTAAATGGAACGTATTAATATTTTATTATACTTACCCCCAATTACATTCAATTAAAAACGATACAAAACGATTAAAAATACATTTATTCATTCTATTTTATTTATTTATGTAATTTTATTACGTTCAGGATTGTTTAAACATCATTCTTATTTTTATTTCTTTACTCCCTTTCTTTGTTTAAACAAAATCTTATAATTGTTATTTCATTAATAAACATGGGAGATTGGTATGTCAAAGGTTCAAACCTTGAAGGAGAACATGGATTAGTTGAACAAAGAAATTGTCCACAAGGAAGACCTTTTTGCCATCAACTTATTAATGAATGTATTCGAGAAGGCAGAACTTTACATGTTCATCAACAGGATTGGCAGATAAACTCCTTCACTTATGAGAAACTCTAAACATTCTCTAATTTACTTTTATCTTTCTTATCTTGTTCTTTCTTATTTTCTTTTTTATTCTATTTTCCTTCTATAAAATTTTTTTGTTTATAATGAATAATTTATTTTCTCATTCTATTATTTTATATATTACGTTTTATATTTTATTTCATTTCTCAACTTCATCACTAAACATTAAAACAAGAGAATGAAAGGATAAATAAATTTAATATCGAATGATGTTTAACATGTAATTTATAAATAAATATATCACATAACATGATAGGGGGTAATGCAAATAAATAAAATATTATTCTCATTTTATTCAGTTATTTCCCTTTTAAAATAATAATAACGTATTAAAATAAAATATTTACAAATATATGTAAAATAATAAAAAGGGGGTACAAATAAGAAAGAAAGAATAAATACGATAAATACGAATAACATGAAATAAAAAGAAAACGATAAACTTGATAAATCAGAATAAATGCTTACAAAACACTCTAATACAGAAAGACTGAAAAGAAGTGCAGAAACAGCTTATCTTAGAGAACATTATCCACAAAATTTAGTTCAATTTCATAAAATAGGTGTAAAACTTCAAAACGCACCAGAAAAAGAAAATGAAGTTGTTGTTGAACCTGATGTACATTTTCAAATTGATGGAAAGGAATATCTTGTTTTTTTCAATAACCGTTTAAGGGAAATAAATACAGTTTTAAATCGTTGGTTAGAAAATGAATTTTCGGAACATGGGTTTATTATGCCAGATATTCTTAAAAGTGATATTAGATGCATTGCAGAGACAGGAGAACCAAGTGCGATAAAAGGGTTCTTAACTTCTTTAATTCCAATTTATGGACAATATCAAGGACTTCGTAGTTGGTGTAATATTTTAGCAGGCGCTTTATCTTCAAAAGCACAAGAAGATAACGATAGAATCGTCAGAATAGCATATCACATTTATAAAACAAAAGAGTTAATTGAAAAATATGGAAGTGAAATACAATCAGATAAAATATGTGCTATATGTATTGAAAAGAATTTTAATGGGAAGAGTGAATATATAACAAGTTGTGACGATAAATCATACCAAGAATTAGAATCAAAATTATTTGAAATAATGTCATCTCCCAAACTAAGAGATGAAAAATTTAATGATTTAAAAAGATTTTTGTATAGGTGTGAAAATAATATTCAACCCACATTAAATGAATGGAGAAGAATGCAATTTTGTTTTGTAATTAACAGAGTGAGTTATTATCTTACAAGAGAAGAAGAATTATTAACTGATAAATTATTTGAAGAATTAAAAGCAATGACAAACCTTAGAAGTAGATTGAACCAGCTTGCAATTAAATACAAACATTTGTATTTAACAAATACACAAATTCTTCTTGGAATTACAATAAGTCGATGTAAAATTCTTGTTGATAATAGAAAATGTAAAACAATATTTATTGAAAGTTCAAATGTCAGTGAATTTTATAAAAAGATTGATAAAAGGTTAGACGCAGAAGTACAGATTCTTTCAAAAAGATATTCAGACAGTAAAGTTACATTAGAAAAGATTATAGAAACAGCACAGAGTTTTGACCCAGATAAAAGTCAAGATTTAATAGATAAAATGAAAAAAGAAATTAATGAAAAAGAAAATAAAAGAAAAAAGTTATGGGGAGATGCAGCAACTGAAGTTGGAAAAGTAATCATAAAGAAAGTGGAAGATATATCAGATATTGCTG